AGCCATGCATGCCAGGTCCTGCAGTGTGCGGGGCAGCTGCCCACATGGGCTGTGGCATGAGCTGCAGGCATGGGCCTTCTGTGGCTGCTGGGGCTAGCTTGCTGTGGACTCTGGCGTGCTTGGGTCTCACTGACGCTACCTTGCTTCACAGTGGACAGCCCTGCAGCCTCTGATGGGCCACAGGGCCACGATGACCAACTACTGACATTTGAGACATGCTGCACCAAGGTGGACTGCGGGTAAGTGTATGTGTTTGTGTGCATGGCCGTGGCCGTGGCACGTGGCTGGCCATGCCTGAGTGGAATATAGTGGTGCCCAGCTGCCTGAGGAGGTGTGCCAGGAGCCTGAGGGCTCCATTGTGCCCCTGCACTCCAACTCTGCTCTGGTCAGGCCCTCCAGGTCTCCAGAGGCTTTGGCGCTGTGCCTTGCCAAGAGCCCTCCCTGGTGCTGTCTGTCAGCCATTGGTGTGGAAGCCCCTGAGGTGCTGCCTGTGTCCCCCTGGGTCCTGCTGGGTCACGGGAGCCAAGGGGGCCGGAGATGAACTGCCTCGTGGGCCCCCCATCTCCGTGAGGCCCCATGAAAGGAAGTCGAATACCTCTTTGTGGTCTCCGTATTGGTGCTTGGCAAAGTTTGGGTGTAGGATATGTGTTGTTGTTGCGGCAGCTGGTGCGGCCAGCGTCTGGGACAGACGCCAAACAGAGAGAAAGGTGGACAGGGCAGCCTGTGGCATGTTTGGTGCTGGGGGCCACCATAGCCAGGCTCATGGAAGTGTCCCAGGCCTAGCATACCAGCCCCTTGGTGTTGACCAGCATGCATGGGCTTGCTTCTAGCCCAACCCTGATTGAATCCAAGTGTGAGAGAGCAGGGCTTAGAGCGGGCGATGAGATGGGGTCATCTGCTGCAGAACCAACCTCCTGCATGTCCCCACGCAGTCTAGACACCACCTGCCTGGACCATGACCCCCAGAGGTCCCCGGGCCCTTTCCTTAGCTTTCAGCCACAGGTGCTGGGTGCCCTGGTGCCAAGCATGCATTGCTGCGGCCCCCAGTTGGGATGGGTTGCCACTACCAAGCTGTCTTCCCCCATGACCCTGTGTCCTTGGGCCCAAGAGGGAGGCCGAGCGCCAGCAGTGGTGGCTCCTGAGGACGCAGGCCCTCAGTCCTGCCCTGAGGCCCAGCAGCACTCAGCTCACTTCTCCCCTGTCTTGTCTCCTCCGGCCCAGGTCTGTAGAAGACAGCACGCCACCAAACGCCTGTGCGTCTATTGCTATGCCAGTCGGGGATGGCTGGGCCCCACCAGCCGCCCCCATGACCATTGTCACCAACCTTGGAATAGGTGTGCAGGCAGCACTGAGCTCCGCCGAGCCGGTGGAAGGTGAGTCATGTCATGGATGATGTGGGTGGTGTACTCGGCCCCAGGGCTGTTCACGCGTGGCTCCTGGCATGTCCAGAGCCCCAGGACATGACCTGAGCCTGTGGTGAGGCCAGGTGGGCATTCTTGGTGCTGGTGGTGGCTTGGACTTGTTCCCAAATCCCTCAGCCTCTCCCATGGCCCCTTTTGCCCTGAGCTCCAGGGTGCATTGCCTGGCTGGAAGGTGGTCATGAGGCAAGGCTAGTTCCCTGGGCGATATGGAGCTGGATTCCCGACCTTGGCCAGGAGCAGGTGTGGCCATAGTTATGGGCTTGTGATTGAACGGTGGACCTGTGCATGAGAAAAGCTTCAAGCCCAACATGCGACAGGCCCAGTTGCAGGGCCTGTGTGTGTACACCAAGAGCACTAGCCAGTTTGCCAAAACTGCAGATTAGTGGAATGTCCAGCACCATGCCCACTGTGGATGGAGGGAGGGAAGGGAGAGATGGCACTGCCATCTCCCAGAGGACATGCGTCCAGCCATGCATGCCAGGTCCTGCAGTGTGCGGGGCAGCTGCCCACATGGGCTGTGGCATGAGCTGCAGGCATGGGCCTTCTGTGGCTGCTGGGGCTAGCTTGCTGTGGACTCTGGCGTGCTTGGGTCTCACTGACGCTACCTTGCTTCACAGTGGACAGCCCTGCAGCCTCTGATGGGCCACAGGGCCACGATGACCAACTACTGACATTTGAGACATGCTGCACCAAGGTGGACTGCGGGTAAGTGTATGTGTTTGTGTGCATGGCCGTGGCCGTGGCACGTGGCTGGCCATGCCTGAGTGGAATATAGTGGTGCCCAGCTGCCTGAGGAGGTGTGCCAGGAGCCTGAGGGCTCCATTGTGCCCCTGCACTCCAACTCTGCTCTGGTCAGGCCCTCCAGGTCTCCAGAGGCTTTGGCGCTGTGCCTTGCCAAGAGCCCTCCCTGGTGCTGTCTGTCAGCCATTGGTGTGGAAGCCCCTGAGGTGCTGCCTGTGTCCCCCTGGGTCCTGCTGGGTCACGGGAGCCAAGGGGGCCGGAGATGAACTGCCTCGTGGGCCCCCCATCTCCGTGAGGCCCCATGAAAGGAAGTCGAATACCTCTTTGTGGTCTCCGTATTGGTGCTTGGCAAAGTTTGGGTGTAGGATATGTGTTGTTGTTGCGGCAGCTGGTGCGGCCAGCGTCTGGGACAGACGCCAAACAGAGAGAAAGGTGGACAGGGCAGCCTGTGGCATGTTTGGTGCTGGGGGCCACCATAGCCAGGCTCATGGAAGTGTCCCAGGCCTAGCATACCAGCCCCTTGGTGTTGACCAGCATGCATGGGCTTGCTTCTAGCCCAACCCTGATTGAATCCAAGTGTGAGAGAGCAGGGCTTAGAGCGGGCGATGAGATGGGGTCATCTGCTGCAGAACCAACCTCCTGCATGTCCCCACGCAGTCTAGACACCACCTGCCTGGACCATGACCCCCAGAGGTCCCCGGGCCCTTTCCTTAGCTTTCAGCCACAGGTGCTGGGTGCCCTGGTGCCAAGCATGCATTGCTGCGGCCCCCAGTTGGGATGGGTTGCCACTACCAAGCTGTCTTCCCCCATGACCCTGTGTCCTTGGGCCCAAGAGGGAGGCCGAGCGCCAGCAGTGGTGGCTCCTGAGGACGCAGGCCCTCAGTCCTGCCCTGAGGCCCAGCAGCACTCAGCTCACTTCTCCCCTGTCTTGTCTCCTCCGGCCCAGGTCTGTAGAAGACAGCACGCCACCAAACGCCTGTGCGTCTATTGCTATGCCAGTCGGGGATGGCTGGGCCCCACCAGCCGCCCCCATGACCATTGTCACCAACCTTGGAATAGGTGTGCAGGCAGCACTGAGCTCCGCCGAGCCGGTGGAAGGTGAGTCATGTCATGGATGATGTGGGTGGTGTACTCGGCCCCAGGGCTGTTCACGCGTGGCTCCTGGCATGTCCAGAGCCCCAGGACATGACCTGAGCCTGTGGTGAGGCCAGGTGGGCATTCTTGGTGCTGGTGGTGGCTTGGACTTGTTCCCAAATCCCTCAGCCTCTCCCATGGCCCCTTTTGCCCTGAGCTCCAGGGTGCATTGCCTGGCTGGAAGGTGGTCATGAGGCAAGGCTAGTTCCCTGGGCGATATGGAGCTGGATTCCCGACCTTGGCCAGGAGCAGGTGTGGCCATAGTTATGGGCTTGTGATTGAACGGTGGACCTGTGCATGAGAAAAGCTTCAAGCCCAACATGCGACAGGCCCAGTTGCAGGGCCTGTGTGTGTACACCAAGAGCACTAGCCAGTTTGCCAAAACTGCAGATTAGTGGAATGTCCAGCACCATGCCCACTGTGGATGGAGGGAGGGAAGGGAGAGATGGCACTGCCATCTCCCAGAGGACATGCGTCCAGCCATGCATGCCAGGTCCTGCAGTGTGCGGGGCAGCTGCCCACATGGGCTGTGGCATGAGCTGCAGGCATGGGCCTTCTGTGGCTGCTGGGGCTAGCTTGCTGTGGACTCTGGCGTGCTTGGGTCTCACTGACGCTACCTTGCTTCACAGTGGACAGCCCTGCAGCCTCTGATGGGCCACAGGGCCACGATGACCAACTACTGACATTTGAGACATGCTGCACCAAGGTGGACTGCGGGTAAGTGTATGTGTTTGTGTGCATGGCCGTGGCCGTGGCACGTGGCTGGCCATGCCTGAGTGGAATATAGTGGTGCCCAGCTGCCTGAGGAGGTGTGCCAGGAGCCTGAGGGCTCCATTGTGCCCCTGCACTCCAACTCTGCTCTGGTCAGGCCCTCCAGGTCTCCAGAGGCTTTGGCGCTGTGCCTTGCCAAGAGCCCTCCCTGGTGCTGTCTGTCAGCCATTGGTGTGGAAGCCCCTGAGGTGCTGCCTGTGTCCCCCTGGGTCCTGCTGGGTCACGGGAGCCAAGGGGGCCGGAGATGAACTGCCTCGTGGGCCCCCCATCTCCGTGAGGCCCCATGAAAGGAAGTCGAATACCTCTTTGTGGTCTCCGTATTGGTGCTTGGCAAAGTTTGGGTGTAGGATATGTGTTGTTGTTGCGGCAGCTGGTGCGGCCAGCGTCTGGGACAGACGCCAAACAGAGAGAAAGGTGGACAGGGCAGCCTGTGGCATGTTTGGTGCTGGGGGCCACCATAGCCAGGCTCATGGAAGTGTCCCAGGCCTAGCATACCAGCCCCTTGGTGTTGACCAGCATGCATGGGCTTGCTTCTAGCCCAACCCTGATTGAATCCAAGTGTGAGAGAGCAGGGCTTAGAGCGGGCGATGAGATGGGGTCATCTGCTGCAGAACCAACCTCCTGCATGTCCCCACGCAGTCTAGACACCACCTGCCTGGACCATGACCCCCAGAGGTCCCCGGGCCCTTTCCTTAGCTTTCAGCCACAGGTGCTGGGTGCCCTGGTGCCAAGCATGCATTGCTGCGGCCCCCAGTTGGGATGGGTTGCCACTACCAAGCTGTCTTCCCCCATGACCCTGTGTCCTTGGGCCCAAGAGGGAGGCCGAGCGCCAGCAGTGGTGGCTCCTGAGGACGCAGGCCCTCAGTCCTGCCCTGAGGCCCAGCAGCACTCAGCTCACTTCTCCCCTGTCTTGTCTCCTCCGGCCCAGGTCTGTAGAAGACAGCACGCCACCAAACGCCTGTGCGTCTATTGCTATGCCAGTCGGGGATGGCTGGGCCCCACCAGCCGCCCCCATGACCATTGTCACCAACCTTGGAATAGGTGTGCAGGCAGCACTGAGCTCCGCCGAGCCGGTGGAAGGTGAGTCATGTCATGGATGATGTGGGTGGTGTACTCGGCCCCAGGGCTGTTCACGCGTGGCTCCTGGCATGTCCAGAGCCCCAGGACATGACCTGAGCCTGTGGTGAGGCCAGGTGGGCATTCTTGGTGCTGGTGGTGGCTTGGACTTGTTCCCAAATCCCTCAGCCTCTCCCATGGCCCCTTTTGCCCTGAGCTCCAGGGTGCATTGCCTGGCTGGAAGGTGGTCATGAGGCAAGGCTAGTTCCCTGGGCGATATGGAGCTGGATTCCCGACCTTGGCCAGGAGCAGGTGTGGCCATAGTTATGGGCTTGTGATTGAACGGTGGACCTGTGCATGAGAAAAGCTTCAAGCCCAACATGCGACAGGCCCAGTTGCAGGGCCTGTGTGTGTACACCAAGAGCACTAGCCAGTTTGCCAAAACTGCAGATTAGTGGAATGTCCAGCACCATGCCCACTGTGGATGGAGGGAGGGAAGGGAGAGATGGCACTGCCATCTCCCAGAGGACATGCGTCCAGCCATGCATGCCAGGTCCTGCAGTGTGCGGGGCAGCTGCCCACATGGGCTGTGGCATGAGCTGCAGGCATGGGCCTTCTGTGGCTGCTGGGGCTAGCTTGCTGTGGACTCTGGCGTGCTTGGGTCTCACTGACGCTACCTTGCTTCACAGTGGACAGCCCTGCAGCCTCTGATGGGCCACAGGGCCACGATGACCAACTACTGACATTTGAGACAGGATGCACCGAGGTGGACTGCGGGTAAGTGTAAGTGTTTTTATAGGTGTGTGTGTGGCAGTGACCATGCCGTGATATATGACTGCCAGGACTGAGTGGCATATGAGTTGGCTATGTAACCAGTGTAGGATTAATTTAAGTGGGCTTTGGACAGTTCATCGAGTGCCAGGAAGGCCCCATTCCAGAACGCACGGCACCACTGCTATGGTGGGGCACTGCTGGTCTGCAGAGCGCTCTTGGCAGTGTGCCTCCCTGAGAGCCACGTCCCTGGCCGTCAGCTGCTGTGGTGAAGCCCCCTGGGGTCTTCCCTGTGTCGCAAGGGACCGGAGGATCAGGACCCCTTGTGGGGTATCCGTGCCGTCCCATCTCCACGTGTTGCGTGCGAGTAGTAGGCAGTGAAGCCCGTAACAGTGTGTGTGTGAGTGCCCCGGGAAAGTGTGGGTGAATGATGTCATTGCGCGAGTGAGTAGCTGGTGTGGCCGGCATGCGGCACGCACACGGAGCAGAGGGCCAGGTGGCCGCGGGAAGCCCTAGCGTGTGTGTTCCTGGGTCCTGCCGGAGTCGGGCGCATGGACATGTCCCCGGCCAGCTCAAGTGGGACTGTTGGCGTTGCCCAGGCTCCTTGGGCTTGCTTCTGGCTCGACCTGGTGCGTGCCCAAGCGTGAGGGAGCCAGGGCCTTGGGGCTCGGGGGTGACGTGGGATGCTGTGCTTCAGAGCCCACCTCTTGGCCGTGCCCACGCAACGCAAACACCACCCCCACCTGGACCACGGCCAGCAGGGCGTCCCAGGCCCCTTGTGTCAGCTTGCACCCATAGGTGCAGTGGTGCCACGGTGCTGGCTCGCTCGGGTCCCCGCCGGCATGGGTTGCCACTGTCACAGTGCTTTTCCTTGGGAGGCCAGCCGCTTGGGCCCAAGAGGGTGGCCGAGCGCTGGCGGTGGTGGTTCCTGGGGCAGCCGGGTCCCAAGCCATGCCCCTGGATCCAGCAGCGCTCAGCTCTCTTCCCCCTGGCCTCTTTCCTCAGGCCGGGCTCGGCCCCACACTACCTGGACGTGACCAGATTTACCAATAGGAGACCCGAGGCCCTGGCCCACTGGGCTTTGCAAGAGTGGGCTGCCAGCCTGGGCATTGTTGTCAGCCCGAAGAGCCTCCAGTTAGAGGCCGTCGAGGGTGAGTCGCGGGATGCAACTCCCGCAGGGTGAGCTGGCCCTCAGTGTAGTTGGCGTTTGTCTCCTGGTGCTGCTGCCAGAGCCCCGGGACACAACGTGAGGTTGCCGTGAGCCCAGGCAGAGCCTCTTGGTGCTGCTGCTGCTGCTGTTGCTTCTGCAGGCTGGGAGTCGTGCCCACGCTTCCCTCCCTCTCGCACAGCCCCTTTCCCCCTGAGGTCCAGGGTAGAATGCGCAGCCCGTAGGATGGCTGGACGCAGTAGTGTTTGCATGGGCGCTACGGGGCTGGGTTGCAACCTTGACAACTGTGGCCAGCGCCTGCCTGAAGTCCTGGCTGTGTGGTGGTGGTGGAAGGGTCCTGCCATAGGTTAGAAACCCTGAGCTGTCAGTGTGTGTCAGGCCCCAGGGGCAGTGCACACGTGTGCTCCCCGAGTGCAGAGGGCTGCTGGCAGAGTGGGCTTGCCCATGCAGAGAGGGAGAGATGGGTGGAGGGGGGGAGGCAGTGAGGGTAGGAGGGAGGGAAGAAGAGCACAGAGGGCTGGCAGAGGCCACGCGTGCCAGGTCCTGCGGCATGCAGGGCGGCTGCCCACCCAGGCGGTGGCGTGAGCTGAGGCCACGGCCCTCCCCTGGCTGCGGAGCTGGCACGCTGGGGACCCTCGCGTGCTTTGGTCTCACGGGAGTTCCCCTGCCCCTCCGTTGCAGTGGACGCCACCGCCCCCTTTGTAGGACCACCCACACCAGATAATGACAAAGCACTGGCCATTCCCACTGGCAGGACCGACGTGGACTCGGGGTAAGTGTGTGCGTGTGACAGTGGCTGTTGGACATGGCTGCCAGGCCTGAGTGGAATGTGGGGTGTGTCTGTGTTGCCGGGGGAGGGCCCGTGGGGTGAGCTGTGGAAGGCCGGCCGTGTGCCAGGAAGGCCCCGTTCTAGCCCTGCACGGCACCACTGCTCTGGTGGGGCACTGCTGGTCTGCAGAGCGCTCTTGGCAGTGTGCCTCCCTGAGAGCCGCGTCCCTGGCCGTCAGCTGCAGTGGTGAAGCCCCCTGGGGCCTTCCCTGTGTCGCAAGGGACCGGAGGATCAGGACCCCTTGTGGGGTATCCGTGCCGTCCCATCTCCACGTGTTGCGTGCGAGTAGTAGGCAGTGAAGCCCGTAACAGTGTGTGTGTGAGTGCCCCGGGAAAGTGTGGGTGAATGATGTCATTGCGCGAGTGAGTAGCTGGTGTGGCCGGCATGCGGCACGCACACGGAGCAGAGGGCCAGGTGGCCGCGGGAAGCCCTAGCGTGTGTGTTCCTGGGTCCTGCCGGAGTCGGGCGCATGGACATGTCCCCGGCCAGCTCAAGTGGGACTGTTGGCGTTGCCCAGGCTCCTTGGGCTTGCTTCTGGCTCGACCTGGTGCGTGCCCAAGCGTGAGGGAGCCAGGGCCTTGGGGCTCGGGGGTGACGTGGGATGCTGTGCTTCAGAGCCCACCTCTTGGCCGTGCCCACGCAACGCAAACACCACCCCCACCTGGACCACGGCCAGCAGGGCGTCCCAGGCCCCTTGTGTCAGCTTGCACCCATAGGTGCAGTGGTGCCACGGTGCTGGCTCGCTCGGGTCCCCGCTGGCATGGGTTGCCACTGTCACAGTGCTTTTTCCTTGGGAGGCCAGCCGCTTGGGCCCAAGAGGGTGGCCGAGCGCTGGCGGTGGTGGTTCCTGGGGCAGCCGGGTCCCAAGCCATGCCCCTGGATCCAGCAGCGCTCAGCTCTCTTCCCCCTGGCCTCTTTCCTCAGGCCGGGCTCGGCCCCACACTACCTGGACGTGACCAGATTTACCAATAGGAGACCCGAGGCCCTGGCCCACTGGGCTTTGCAAGAGTGGGCTGCCAGCCTGGGCATTGTTGTCAGCCCGAAGAGCCTCCAGTTAGAGGCCGTCGAGGGTGAGTCGCGGGATGCAACTCCCGCAGGGTGAGCTGGCCCTCAGTGTAGTTGGCGTTTGTCTCCTGGTGCTGCTGCCAGAGCCCCGGGACACAACGTGAGGTTGCCGTGAGCCCAGGCAGAGCCTCTTGGTGCTGCTGCTGCTGCTGTTGCTTCTGCAGGCTGGGAGTCGTGCCCACGCTTCCCTCCCTCTCGCACAGCCCCTTTCCCCCTGAGGTCCAGGGTAGAATGCGCAGCCCGTAGGATGGCTGGACGCAGTAGTGTTTGCATGGGCGCTACGGGGCTGGGTTGCAACCTTGACAACTGTGGCCAGCGCCTGCCTGAAGTCCTGGCTGTGTGGTGGTGGTGGAAGGGTCCTGCCATAGGTTAGAAACCCTGAGCTGTCAGTGTGTGTCAGGCCCCAGGGGCAGTGCACACGTGTGCTCCCCGAGTGCAGAGGGCTGCTGGCAGAGTGGGCTTGCCCATGCAGAGAGGGAGAGATGGGTGGAGGGGGGGAGGCAGTGAGGGTAGGAGGGAGGGAAGAAGAGCACAGAGGGCTGGCAGAGGCCACGCGTGCCAGGTCCTGCGGCATGCAGGGCGGCTGCCCACCCAGGCGGTGGCGTGAGCTGAGGCCACGGCCCTCCCCTGGCTGCGGAGCTGGCACGCTGGGGACCCTCGCGTGCTTTGGTCTCACGGGAGTTCCCCTGCCCCTCCGTTGCAGTGGACGCCACCGCCCCCTTTGTAGGACCACCCACACCAGATAATGACAAAGCACTGGCCATTCCCACTGGCAGGACCGACGTGGACTCGGGGTAAGTGTGTGCGTGTGACAGTGGCTGTTGGACATGGCTGCCAGGCCTGAGTGGAATGTGGGGTGTGTCTGTGTTGCCGGGGGAGGGCCCGTGGGGTGAGCTGTGGAAGGCCGGCCGTGTGCCAGGAAGGCCCCGTTCTAGCCCTGCACGGCACCACTGCTCTGGTGGGGCACTGCTGGTCTGCAGAGCGCTCTTGGCAGTGTGCCTCCCTGAGAGCCACGTCCCTGGCCGTCAGCTGCAGTGGTGAAGCCCCCTGGGGCCTTCCCTGTGTCGCAAGGGACCGGAGGATCAGGACCCCTTGTGGGGTATCCGTGCCGTCCCATCTCCACGTGTTGCGTGCGAGTAGTAGGCAGTGAAGCCCGTAACAGTGTGTGTGTGAGTGCCCCGGGAAAGTGTGGGTGAATGATGTCATTGCGCGAGTGAGTAGCTGGTGTGGCCGGCATGCGGCACGCACACGGAGCAGAGGGCCAGGTGGCCGCGGGAAGCCCTAGCGTGTGTGTTCCTGGGTCCTGCCGGAGTCGGGCGCATGGACATGTCCCCGGCCAGCTCAAGTGGGACTGTTGGCGTTGCCCAGGCTCCTTGGGCTTGCTTCTGGCTCGACCTGGTGCGTGCCCAAGCGTGAGGGAGCCAGGGCCTTGGGGCTCGGGGGTGACGTGGGATGCTGTGCTTCAGAGCCCACCTCTTGGCCGTGCCCACGCAACGCAAACACCACCCCCACCTGGACCACGGCCAGCAGGGCGTCCCAGGCCCCTTGTGTCAGCTTGCACCCATAGGTGCAGTGGTGCCACGGTGCTGGCTCGCTCGGGTCCCCGCTGGCATGGGTTGCCACTGTCACAGTGCTTTTTCCTTGGGAGGCCAGCCGCTTGGGCCCAAGAGGGTGGCCGAGCGCTGGCGGTGGTGGTTCCTGGGGCAGCCGGGTCCCAAGCCATGCCCCTGGATCCAGCAGCGCTCAGCTCTCTTCCCCCTGGCCTCTTTCCTCAGGCCGGGCTCGGCCCCACACTACCTGGACGTGACCAGATTTACCAATAGGAGACCCGAGGCCCTGGCCCACTGGGCTTTGCAAGAGTGGGCTGCCAGCCTGGGCATTGTTGTCAGCCCGAAGAGCCTCCAGTTAGAGGCCGTCGAGGGTGAGTCGCGGGATGCAACTCCCGCAGGGTGAGCTGGCCCTCAGTGTAGTTGGCGTTTGTCTCCTGGTGCTGCTGCCAGAGCCCCGGGACACAACGTGAGGTTGCCGTGAGCCCAGGCAGAGCCTCTTGGTGCTGCTGCTGCTGCTGTTGCTTCTGCAGGCTGGGAGTCGTGCCCACGCTTCCCTCCCTCTCGCACAGCCCCTTTCCCCCTGAGGTCCAGGGTAGAATGCGCAGCCCGTAGGATGGCTGGACGCAGTAGTGTTTGCATGGGCGCTACGGGGCTGGGTTGCAACCTTGACAACTGTGGCCAGCGCCTGCCTGAAGTCCTGGCTGTGTGGTGGTGGTGGAAGGGTCCTGCCATAGGTTAGAAACCCTGAGCTGTCAGTGTGTGTCAGGCCCCAGGGGCAGTGCACACGTGTGCTCCCCGAGTGCAGAGGGCTGCTGGCAGAGTGGGCTTGCCCATGCAGAGAGGGAGAGATGGGTGGAGGGGGGGAGGCAGTGAGGGTAGGAGGGAGGGAAGAAGAGCACAGAGGGCTGGCAGAGGCCACGCGTGCCAGGTCCTGCGGCATGCAGGGCGGCTGCCCACCCAGGCGGTGGCGTGAGCTGAGGCCACGGCCCTCCCCTGGCTGCGGAGCTGGCACGCTGGGGACCCTCGCGTGCTTTGGTCTCACGGGAGTTCCCCTGCCCCTCCGTTGCAGTGGACGCCACCGCCCCCTTTGTAGGACCACCCACACCAGATAATGACAAAGCACTGGCCATTCCCACTGGCAGGACCGACGTGGACTCGGGGTAAGTGTGTGCGTGTGACAGTGGCTGTTGGACATGGCTGCCAGGCCTGAGTGGAATGTGGGGTGTGTCTGTGTTGCCGGGGGAGGGCCCGTGGGGTGAGCTGTGGAAGGCCGGCCGTGTGCCAGGAAGGCCCCGTTCTAGCCCTGCACGGCACCACTGCTCTGGTGGGGCACTGCTGGTCTGCAGAGCGCTCTTGGCAGTGTGCCTCCCTGAGAGCCACGTCCCTGGCCGTCAGCTGCAGTGGTGAAGCCCCCTGGGGCCTTCCCTG